ATGCTGACTGTCAGCCGAAGACACACGGGCGGCTCTTGAGCAGTGGAGGAGCGGCACGCAGAGTCTGGTCTTGGTGGCCACAAGCTGCTTGGGCGCGGGCTTGGACATGCCCAACGTTCGGAAGGTGATCTGGTTTGGCAGCGGCTACAACGGCTATACCTTGTCGCAGGCCTTTGGCCGGGCTGGCCGCGACCGACGGGGTGGCGAGGCCACGCTATGGATACCACGAGGCACAGCGGTTTCGGAAGACCTGCAGCCATTTGCAAGCATGAAGCGCTGCCTGACCTTTGAGCTTGGCTGGCTGCTGGATGGTGAGGGCCACATTTGTGCAGCCGCAGGAGCGCCGGCTTGTAATGTGTGCTCCATGATGCAACCGACCATCACAGCGCGCCATCCAAGCCGTGAAGCACATGGGGCGCCAGTATCACACGAGGGCCAGACGCGGGCCAAACGAGCACAGTTGATGGTACCATCGGCGCCCATTCAGTCAGACGACTTTAACACGGCTCTGCTATGGATGTGCACCTACTGCTGGGCCTGCAGCTGCAGCAGAGACCGCTTGGTTGCTCACCACCAGCCTTCTTGCTGCCCGGCCATGAAAGGGCGCTGTTTTCGATGCCACTGCCGCGGCCATGGTAGTGGCACTTGCCAAGTGAACTTGGGGGCTGGTGTTTGCTACCGGTGTTGGAGGCCGCAGAAGATTGGAGGTGAGCGAGTGGTGGAGTGCACGGGGCGGGCCTGTGCCCAGCGCAACCGCGAGGCCATCCGGGCCTTGGTCGCGTCTGTGTCACGCAGTCAAACTTTGCGCGGCATCATGCAGCGCATGGAGTGCCCTGGCAGTTAGAGGGCGGGACTTTGACCCGTCGGAGATGCAGGCGCTTGTGGGCTGGCTGTACGGAGCAGAGGGGCGCGTTGGCCACCCGCGCGTGCTGAAGCTTGTGATTGAGGCGAAACGGCAGTTTGCAATGTTGAAGTGAGTGTTTGTTTGTTCTTGAAGCGGGGGTGTAATTGAGACGTTTGACAGCTTGTGGGCTGTTTGCGTTGGACGACATACGCTGATCAAACATGGATGTGAAGCGACGATGAAAAAGGAAATCAGTTGCGTTGAAAGGGAAAAGAAATTACGTTGGCAGGGAAACATCGAAGGAAGAGATCTGGATGAGTAATGATAAAAATAGTAAAAATGTGGAATGAAGAAAAAGAATTGGTTGGTGGTAGGTGAGGAAAGATAAGTTGGAAGGTGGAAGTAAAAAAAATGTTGAATAAAGAGGAAATGAGTAGAGAAAAGAGGTGGAATATGAGGATGGTGTGAAGAAGGTGTTTTTGAAAAGGGGGAAAAAAAAATAAGATAAAATTGAAAGAAAATGTGAGAAACTAGTGTAAGAATATTTCATTTGGACTAGCCTTCTTGTAAAAGACATCATGTACGCTTCGGGGGCCATTGTGTGCATAATGGGTGCAAGTGTACTCAAGAAGGCTTTCATAAGTAACGTTTGTCAGACAACAGCATCGAGGAGAACAAAGGATTAAATTTTTTAACATTGGATGTAAATTTTACAAGAAAATAATTTCTGACAATTTCAAAACAGGAACATCTGACAAAGTTCATACTCGCAAACTCGACGTGTTGTTCTTCTTGTTGTTGTGGCCTGTGCATTCGTTCAAAATTTAACAAAAATTTGTTAATCACCTTTTGGCATTTTTGTATCGTTTGCGACGACCAAACGCAGTTGAGCCAGCTGGACGAGAGAACGCTGCGCACTGTCGCATCTACGCATGTGCTCATGAAAAAATGATGGCAACAAGATTCAACGGTAAGCACTGGCATTC